GGGGCTCCTAGCGGGGGGTGCTTGGGAAGGGCGGGGCTCCTGGCAGGGCGGTGCCCGGGAGGGGGCGGGGCTCCTGGCAGGGCGGTGCCCGGGAAGGGGCGGGGCTCCTGGCAGGGGGGTGCCCAGGGGAGTGGGGCTCCTAGCAGGGGACCCCCGGCTGACCCCCACCTCCCATTGCAGTGGGGGGCCGGGTGGATTTCGAAGACTTCGTGGAGCTGATGACACCCAAGCTGCTGGCCGAGACGGCCGGTATGATCGGGCTGCAGGAGATGAGGGACGCCTTCAAGGAGGTGAGGGAGAGAGAACCCAGGCGTCCGGGCTCCCAGCCCCCCCCGGCCCTAACCCCCCTCCCCTCCCAGAGCCAGGAGAGAACCCAGGAGTCCGTGCTCCCAGCCCCTGGCTCTAACCCCCCTCCCAGGGCTGGGAGAGAACCCAAGTGTCTGGGCTCTCAGCCCCCTCTCAGAGCCAGGGAGCGAACCCAGGAGTCCTGACGGCTGCCCCCTCCCCCCCCCCGCAGTTTGACACCAACGGGGACGGGGAGATCACGCTGGACGAGCTGCAGCTGGCCATGCAGCGCCTCATGGGCGAGCGGCTCACCCCCCGCGAGATCAGCGACGTGGTCAAGGAGGCCGACATCAACGGGGACGGGACCGTCGACTTCGAGGGTGCGTGGGACGCCCTGGGGGATTGTGGGTAACGTGCCGCTCGGCCAGAGCCCACACGGGTCACGCCCCATGGCCCTGGCAAGGGATTGTGGGTAACGCGCCGCTCGGCCAGAGCCCACACGGGTCACGCCCCACGGCCCTGGCAAGGGATTGTGGGCCGGTGTTGGTGGACCATGGCCTGCCAGCTCTAAGAGGGGATTGTGGGTAAGGCACACTTGGTGTGAGTGGCGCAGGGCTTCTGGGGGCTGGGATCCCCTGGTGGGGTGGCTCCGTGGGGCTGGGATCGGTACTAATGGGGGTCTTTCCCCTGTAGAGTTTGTGAAGATGATGTCACGCTGAGGGGGCCGAGCCCCGCCAAGATCAGAGACTGACCTTGGAGGGGGGGGTCGAGCCCAACTGGCTGTCAAGACACCACCACGAGTGACTCCCAAATTGCTGCGTCCTGCCCCCCCCCACCTCCCTGCCAACTACCCCCAGAGTCCCCAATGCCTTCCCCAGCCCCCTCCCACAGCCTTCCCCCACACCATGTCCCCCCAGACCTCCACCGCCCCCAGCACTCACTCACCTCCCCCTCCACTCCCCACGGTCCTTCCTTTCCTGTCCCCCCCGCCCCATGGTTCTCTGGATCCCACCGTCCCCCCAGGTCTCCTCCCCGGACCCCTCCACCACAGACACGCAGCCCTTGTGTGCAATAAAAGCCGTGTGCTGAACCCAGGCGTCCGAGGGAGGCTTTCTTGGCCAGGGGATCACGGTTACAACGCGGCAGCGGGGGCTGGGGGGAGGCCGAGCCGAGCGCAGGGTGAAGGGCTTAGAGTCAATAATCACAGCCCGCGGGGACAACATATGGATGGGAATAACCGGCTTAGCATGGGTGGATGGGGGGGCAGGGCAGGGCTGGGCTGGCAGGGGCTGCAGGTCGGGAGTGAGGGGCATCGACAGAGCTGGGGGGGGCAGGGCTGGGCTGGCAGGGGCTGCGGGTCGGGAGTGAGGGGCACCGGCAGAGCGTGGGGGGGGCAGGGCTGGGCTGGCAGGGGCTGCGGGTCGGGAGTGAGGGGCACCGGCAGAGCGTGGGGGGGGCAGGGCTGGGCTGGCA